GAGAGAGAGAGAGAGAGAGAGACAGACAGACAGAGAGACAGAGAGAGAGACAGAGAGAGAGAGAGAGAGAGACAGAGAGAGACAGAGAGAGAGAGAGAGAGAGAGCCGTGATTTTGTTGAACTTCAGTAAGAGTTTTACAGCACTTGCAACACAATAAGGTCATATATAGGAGCTGACAATTAGAGGAGTCCATGGGCACATGGAGAGAGAGACAGAGAGAGAGAGAGAGAGACAGAGAGAGACAGAGAGAGAGAAACTGAGACAGACAGAGAGAGAAAAATCAACAACTCACAATGATCGAGTCAAGAGCAGTGTTCACTTCCAGGTCAGACAGACAGACAGACAGACAGAAAGACAGACAGACAGACAGACAGACAGACAGACAGACAGACCAACAGACAGACAGAAAGGCGTACGCACGGACAGACGGACAGACGGACAGACAGACAGCCAGAAAGACAGACAGACAGACACACACACACACAGAGAGACAGACACACACACACCCAAAGACAGAGAGACAGACACACACAGAAACAAACAGACAGACAGAAAAACACACACACACGCACTACACACACACACACACAGAGACAGACAGACACAGTTACTTAGACACACAAACAGACATACACACACACACACACACACACACACAGACACACAGACACTCACAACGATAGAGTCCAGAGCAGCGTTCACTTCTATGTCCGGTATCTCTATGAACCAGCCGCTGGACAGGTTCCGCCGAATGTGGATCTTGAAGGTCATGGGGTCAAGGATGAGTATCTCAGCCTTGACCTCTTCCGACCCGCCACCGGCCAGGATTCCTCTGTGGACGAGCAGAGACAGACACGCTTGATGAAACACAAAACCCTTCTATTTTAATCTTACAAGTGTTTTACGGCGCTCCCAACTGCATAAGGTCATATGAGTGCCAGAAGATTAGAGGTGTCACAAGAGAGTAACAAACATAAAAAAAGAAGAAGGGGAGATAAGGACGGTAGATGCTCGATAGGAAAGAAGAAGAAGCAAACCCCACCAGAGCACCCGCCAACCACCCACAGATAAGATGTTTAGTACAATATACCCCACCTGGTCACCCACTTGACCATACACAAAACCCTACTAGACCTAGTCCCAACACAAGAATTTCTTTTTTTTTGTATGCAAGTGTTTTACGGCGCTCGCAACTGCATAAGGTCATATGAGCGCGCGGGACACATTAACATTTTTCAGTTGGTAGGAAATTTTGAATTTTGCCCGGGTGGCGGCCGAAGCCTACTCTTATCGATTTTAGACCACCAAGGGATCTTTAACGTGCGCAACTTG